AATTTAGAAATGATAATCGTAGATCATCCTAAATTTAGACAATCGTGTTACTGCCAAATCATCTTGAACATAGTAAATAAATACATGTAATAAAAAGGAATAGAACACGATAACCAATCAATATTTTGAAAAAATCTCTCTGTCACAATAAAGTTTGAGTCTCAATCTATGCAATAACAGATTTATTTTTTAAAAAGGACCAACAGAAATGGACTTCTATTCTTTCAAAAATCACGTGCAAAAATGGTGGTTATAGGCTTCGCGCACTATACTTTGGCGAATATTGATTTTTTTTATTTCTCAATTTCTTAGTTATATTAAGAAAGAAAAGCCGAGAACAGAGTCTTGTTTATTATTTAATTTGTATAACGAATTTTAATTTTCATAGTTAATTTTCATGTCAACTAAAAAAACACATTCCAGTTTTAATAATATGAAAAAGTAAAATAACTGAATAACAAATTACAAATAATAAATAATAAATAATAAAAATCAAAAATTATACCAACTTGTCGAATTTTATATCTGAAGCAAAAATCCGTTATAACTTGATAATTCGTTGAAACTGTAATAATGTTATAAATAAATATAGCTAATGTTTCAAATGTATTATTCATAATTACTAATACTAATAGTGTTGACATACTAAAAATCCATTTCGAAACTAATTTGGAAATGGATATTAGGAAAATAATTTTTGCTGCAAAATAATGATATAACGGATATAATGATTATTACCTTGTGTTACAACGAAGTTTTAAAAAAACATATAAATTTGTTTGAAACACGACAAGTAAAATTTTGATGATAATAATGAGTGTTCCCATAGTAATAGTAATAGATGTATTAAACGAGGTTTTCAAAAAAAATTTCAAGCCGATCATACTATATTAAATATTCGTCATACATTACTCATGAGTAGAGTATATTAATATAAATGTGGTCAATTATATTTGATGTGTAACACCCCAATGCCATATGTTTGTGATTATACCACCCTTTGCCCCCTTATTTTTGCACCCATGTGTGTGTGTAATTTTATGAAATTTTCCTCAAATAGAAGTGACATATTAAAGCAGAGAGACAGTTAGTAATAACAATAAAATAACAATAGGGAAATAAAAGTTTTACTGTAGATATTAGAAACTTGATTATTTAAAAATTAATTATATATAAATTGTGAAACGTAAAATAATGATAATCATTCAAGACAAAAAAAGGCACTGACTTTGTCACATGATTAGCTTGCGTAATATATTTAATTACATGGCACAAACAGAAATAGGAAAATTTTTTTGGAATTTATTATTTTGGTGCGCAAACACATTGTTCTATATAGAAGAGCATTCCAATATGTATTATGAAATATAGTTTAATCGTTTTTTCATATTACTATTCTACTTTAATTTTGAGCATGTTATCTTTTTTTACCTAACAATAAGACTTTAATAATAATGGCTTCGTCATAATTATTTAATAATAATAAAAAACAATACAAGCTTCATTTTTTTTTTTCAATTAAAAAAATTTTTTTGTCTTTTATTTTCTTATTTTAAGATAATAAAATATACAAATATATCAATAGTAGCACACGAGTAAGCTAAACATATAAAAAAACGAAAAAAGTAATTGATTTGATTAGAGGTAAATAAAAACTCGTAACATAAATTTCTTGCACTTTAATAACGAAAAAAAAGGGAGAGGAATATTATTATTATTATTATTATTATTAGTAATCTCAATATACTTACTAACCATACATACGTTCTTTCTTTCTCTCTCTTTTTTTCTTTCCCTTAAATTTTTCTAGTTTTATTATTTTCCTTTACACAATAATTTTTATATTTTTAAATTTCTTTATAAAAAAAAAAAAGACAAAAAAAAACCAAAAATTAATATATAACTAATAATAACGACAAAATAATTTCAAGTAATGACTTCAATAATTTCAATAATGGAAAAAAATTATTTTTATATTTTATCAGTAAACTATATAATATCAACTCAATGTCTAGTATCATCTTCACCATCATCATTACCGACACTGTCATTTTCATATAATTATAGACGTTCAACAACTTATTGGGTATTTTGGTATTATGGTGATAGTGGTGATAGACAATGTGGAAATTATTGCATAATAGTATTTTCAATAGTAGCGTTTTTATTATTATGTATAATATTATGTGGATGCCTAAAATGTTATTTCATAAGACAACGTTATAAAGAAGATGAAAAGTATACTGGTGATTCAAGCATTGAAAACGCATTAGCTGCAGTTTGGCCTGATCAAGCTCGTAAAGAACAAGAAGCTGCTGCTGAACTACAAAAGAAAAGATTGAATGAACAATACCCACCATTAAAATCATTATCATCATCATCTACCGCTTCTCCTTCATCTCCACTATCATCAAATCATGATAACAATCCACCTCCAGCTTACGGCGATGAAACCGTAGGCGATGAACCAAATTTTTTTCATAATCTTAGACGTCGAAGCCCATTCCAGGCTGTAAGATATGCTAATAAATTTTCAAAAGATCATCCACCATTTGAAGCTTTACCACCCCCTGAACATATGAATTACCTTAAAGATACTGGTATAAACGCATGGAAATTTTCTGACGATAATTTAATAAGAGCAAACATTATCAGTATATTAAATGACAGAGGAAATGTGATAAGATTCAATCAAAAATTAGATGCTATGGTACAAACTAATTATCCATTAGTAGAATTATACGAGTTCAATGAAAATACAAATGAAAACTCCAATAACAACGAAAATTACGATAACAATAGTAGTGATAATAGTAGCAGTAGCAACAATAATGCTGTCCATAAAATCGTACCAAAACCATCTCAAGCTCATCTATTAAGTAGTGATAATCAACATCAAGACTTATCATTGGCACCTCCACCTTACGAATTACCTTCAACTTCTGCTCTTGGCAAACCTGGCAAATGGTTTTATTATTACGAAGTTACAATACGTTCTAATCCTAATAAAAAAGATACAACAATTGCAATTGGTTTGGCAACAAAACCTTATCCTAATTATAGGTAATCATTGTTATTATTTAATTGATAGTTTTTCTTAAAAAAATTTTTTTTAATTTATTTATTATTTATTTTATTAGATTGCCTGGTTGGAGCATTCATTCAGTAGGTTATCATTCAAATAATGGAAATAAATTTCATAATGAGTCATTTGCTGGCAGAGAATACGGTGAAAAATGGGGCGACGAAGGCGACACGATAGGATGTGGATATTATCCTAATACTGGTTATGTGTTTTTTACAAAAAATGGCAAATTTCAAGAAATTGCATTTACTGGATTATTTCATATCTGGTTTCCAACAATTGGTACAGATGGCGAATGCACTATGGAAATAAATTTCGGAGACAATAATGGAAAAGAATTTGTGTATCAAGAAGCCATTGGTATGAGTGTATGTGGACCTATTAATAATGAAATAATATCAAATGAAAATGAATTACATATTAGTAAAGTCGAGAAAAATAATTATAATTTGTAAAAAAAAACTTGGTTTTTTTAGTTTTATGGGATTCACGAAAAATAAAAAATGACAAATTTTTCACTGATATAAAATTTTTCATAATTAATTACTATTCATTATTCATTATTTTCATTTATTCATTCATTCATTAATTCATTCATTCATTCATTCAAAAAGAAAAGTCATGTTTTTGTAATATTTGTATTTTTAATTGTATATAATATTAATAATAATATAATTATCATAGAAACTTTAATTCAAAAAAAAACAAAAAAAAATTTGTATAATTATTCCTACTATAATTTAAAATAAAAGTTTAATATTAAATTTACGCGTCAACAACTCTTACGTACGTATTTTTCTTTAAATTACTACGATTACAATGACCCTTTCTTGGTTAACAAAAAAGTGATTCGGAATATGAATTAAAATTCCATTTATATAAATAATTGGATGATCTGTTCTTTTTTATCTATTGATAACTACTATGAAGCTCTGTACCTCCTTGTACAGTTAGTTACATCATGATGATAACGTGCAAATAAGAAAATTTCTTGATTTATTTATTATTATTCAAAATATTTATTTGTGTAAGTAAATATCATTCACCCCATTCATTAAATAATTTCTAAATTATTGTTGTTGAAAACAATTTTATTTTGTAAATTTGTACATGTATTATAATATTTTTGATATCAATAAAAATATCTTTATTTATAATTGCAAAACATTATTAATTAAACAAGGTATAGAAAAAACAATCCTACTATGAAGGGAAAATCAACAAACGAATTAGCATTCTTTTTTAGATGTAACGAGAAGAACCTGGGCATCAACAACAATACCAACTTTATTGAAAGGCCTATCATTCTCAGGCTTCCTAACATAAACACGGAAATACTTATTGCCCATAAAAAATTTCGTAGAGTAACTTTGGAAAATACCCTTCGAAAAAGTCGATCAAATAAATAAGAGTACTTGTCATTCGCATTTATCGTAATGATTCTAAATTTGATTGGTTTGGTAACCTAAATTTGGGCTAAAATCCTATTTGTCAATTAATTTGTGTTTAAAATACACTTCCTGGTCATAAGGACACTTGCAGATCATTGGAAATAATTGAATAAAGAAACATGAAAAAAAATAAAAATTTTATTATCCTAACCACATTTGCTTATTAAGTAAAAATTCATCTTCATATCAAATAGTATAATATACTGAAGTTTCGCCGCATATAAATAAACATTCGTTGTTTTACGAACCTTAAAAAATAAAAATGAATTTTTGGAATTTTAAAAAAATCTTCGCCTCAAAAATTGACTGCAATGACAAGTTCTGACGACCTTTGTGGTATAAGTAAAAAATGCGTCTTATGTTTACTTCTAAAATTCTAGATCATTTGGTAAATTAATTGCCAAAATGTCATACTAGTCGTGTGACATTTCCCTGAGGCTGCTTTTCTATATGTGAAAATAAATTCGAAATTCGTGTCACATGAAGT